ACTAAGATTCAACACATATTCACAGAAAGGAAATGGTAATAATGATAGGAAAAAGTATTACAGTAAGGGCACCACCTTAAGTCACTAGAACTGTATTACTTAACTGAATCCACAAAATGGAAATCCATTTCATTTTCTACATAATCATTTAAATTGCAAACCATAACTCCAGCACTTTGGTTTAGGTAGAAAAAGTCACTCTGAAATTATCCTTCAATTTCTGCTACTTAGCGACAAATAGCCATTATAATATTCATTCTTCCTTAAGTATCTTGGTTAATTAAGCATGGAATCATTTGAATCAAATAGCCAAAGGGAATAAATTAACACATCAGTTAAATGAGGTTCATCTAAAATTTCAAACCAAAATTCTTCCATGATTTATGATGTTAAATAATTTGACATTTGAAGGTGCAGAGTTTTTTACTTTATAAGATAATGTGAATCCTAAGGAGTGGGAACCACATCTCATTTGCTAAGGTGGTTACAGGAGCAGGTAAATTTGGCAGTGCTGCAAATCACTAATCTCAGCAACTATTGAGGGAGTCTCCACACACAGGAACATCATTTTTCTCAGCAAAAGCAATACTTACAAGTGAAGGCCAAATCAGCATGGCAAGTATGGCTAACTTTTGATTCTTAATCATGCCAAGCAGTAGATGCTTACTTGCTTGATATATAGTTAATCCCACTTGCAGAGGCCAGGATTTAATAGCAAGCAAACTTGGCAGGTAGAAATTATAAATACATTTGAAATTTTCTCAGCTCGATTTACCCTACAGGGGTTGCTGTGATTTTCAGGATAATTTAAAGATAAGGCAGCAGGTTAGTAAGTGAAGTATTAAAGAGATTAACGAAGAAATGGCAGCATTTTTATTTCTCCCCAGTAAATGAAGAACACACACAAATACATGTGAGTGACCACGTCCACATATGGCGAATAGCTTGGTATCTCTTCCTAAAAAAGAATCAAGATATAAAACTAATAGAAAACCTGTAGTGTTTTGGGATTCTGCCTCCAATCTGACTTGTCATATAAGAAAAAAGCAACGAAGGCATCAGTGATCAAACAGAACTTGTGGGCCACTTCTCTCAAGTACAGACCCAAGAACCACCAGCTAGGAAGCAGTCTCCACTTCACACGGAGCGGCCATGCACAGCAATTTCACCTTCTGATTGTCCTGCCAAGGCCGCCAATCTCAAAGCACCCTGTGCGGAAATGTTCCTTATGCAACACCTCTTTAGTACTTTCTCACTCCAGCGGGGGGTGAGAACATCAAAGGGTGTTTCCAGGCTGGGATTCTGGAAAGGTTGCCTTTGAAGCCTAACTTTTATTTTATTTATTTATTTTTTGGCAGATACTAGGGACAGCTAACTTGTGGTGGTGGTGCTGCAAAACCCAGCTTCAGCCAGATGGAAAGACTGATCTTGTGGTGTACCTGTCTGCTCGGGAGGAAAAGCAGGGACCAGCCAACAGTTCAGCACGGTTCTCCAGGGGGCAGGTCAGGAGACATGAGTAGGAAATGGACGCGGAGCCTCTGGGACTACAGAGGGCCACTTCCTACAGAGGACCCTATATCGGGACTTCCGGAATAACTGCTGACCACATACGCCCTCGGCTGTAAGTGTTTAAGACTTTCTAAGAAGCAGGAAGCTTTAGCTGTCAGAAAACAAGCAGAGCAGTGCTGTCACACAAGTATAGAGCTCATGAAATAGCAAGGCTTTAAAAAAGGGAAAAGGACAGTTTCTCAGAATAGGAAAACAATAAACACAGTTTATTTTCTTCAAAGGAGATAGAACAAAACAAAAGCAGGAAGAGCTTTCTTCCTCATCCTGCCAGATTTTCAGTGGGAAGTCAAGCGTGTGTATCAATCACCGCGAGGGTGAGAAGATGAAAGTGATACCACCTTTCAGGTTTGAAGGGAACACACAGAGATGCATCTCGTAATGCATTGCTCATTCCGGGCTTTCAAAGCCTGCAGCACACGCTACACAAGGGAGGAAGCAAGTCCCACGCATGCAGACGGACCGCCTTCAAAGTTCCCACATGCTTCTCACTTCTCAGCACTCAAAGGAGGCAATTGGGCTTTAAAAAATCCCTTGTTACACAAAACAAAGATGACTCAGGAGCCACATGAGTCAGGTTCCCAAAATCCTCCAAGACTCTTGTTTTGCTGTGATTACAAAGAATACTTCTCATTTTTGTACAGTGGACAATCAAATACTTGTGAGTCTAGATCCTCGCTAGAAAGTGCTAAGAGTCTGAATACAAACCACATGTCCTCCATATTTTGTATAAAACTATAAAAAAGTTTGTTTACATTCACTATCACATAGTCGGACAATTAATTTAATACGCTCCCTGGTGGGCCCATCCTCTGATGTCATTTCCAGAATAAAAAATCAGAGTTCAGTTTAAATGCTATAAGTAGGAATGAAATAATACACAGAATGTACCTCCTTTACAAAAGTCACAAGTAGATGGCCATAAAAATTTTGTTTGTAATTCAGCTTTTTTGATCCCAGATAAATTTTAAAATAATAAGAAAACAATAATTGAAAAAATAGTGGTTAGTCCCAAGCAAGCCTGAATAAATCTGTTTACCCCATTGTATATCTAAAGGACAACACTGTATTTACGAGAACAGAAGTGATAAAATACCAGAGGAAATAATTGTAGACAATAAGATGGGAACATACAATTGCCCAGTGATGATACTAAGAGCTTTCATGTAGTCTATTAATCTTCACAACAAACTTATGATAGAGATTAGGAAGCAGCCTCAGAATGATTTTGCATTTGGCTTTACAATCACACAGCTAAGAACCACAGTATAGAGAAAAATCTCATTCTTGGAGTTAATTGCAGAGAAGACATTAAAGATTGTACCCTGGGCCTTGGTTTCAGCTCACGTGAGACACTGGGAGAGTAACTCAGCTACACCACACATTTATTTTCTCAACTGCAAAATTAGATTGGATTTACTGGTTTGTACTATTCCTTTTGGTTTGAAAATTCTGTTATTTCCTTTGCTAATTTCCAAATGGCAAAAAATGCATTCCAGGTTACAAACTGGGATAATGTCAATGTCCTTTTCCCCCCTAAAGAGAACTTTTATAGAGAAAGAAATAGTTCTGGAGTGAGGATTTCTAGAGAACATATGGAAAAGGGTATCAGGAGCTTGCAGACAGGGAGGGATTGCAAGGGTTTAAATTTCCTGTAAGAGTTCTGTCCTTAGGTTCTTCTGTATACATGCATAAGGGCTGACTGGAAAGTTCCTTTCAGAGCAAGATTTTATTCTTCTGGGACCACACTTGAACAGCATGCACAGCCAAACCCCTTGCCTTTTCCTCCTATCTCAGAAATCAGGGTAGAGTCCTGCTGAAATTTTCTGAGATTTTATGCTTAGCAACCAAAGGATTGAACAAGAAGGGAAAGGGCTTCCTCCTTTAGGCACGGTGTGTCCCTTTTATTATTCTTCAGAAAGCCCGAAGTCTCTGAATAAACTAAGGATTGAAAGAACAATCATCTATCCTCAGAGAAAGAATCTGAAATTAAAGCTTCTGTAGCATTTCTCTTCGGGAAGCATAAGAGCTGGAGTGAGGAGGTGAGATAGCAGCTTGGGACTCTGCCTTTAATGGGGTGAGGGGGAGACAAGATGATGGAAAGACAGGGAAGGGTGGCCCAGAATTCCACACCAGTGTAATACGGCAAAGCAATCAATACTGTGTGCCCTCACGTATTTGCTAACAATAACCAGATTTCTCAAACTTTCTCTTCCTCAGGTTAAAGAACCTCGAATCTCCCAGCCATAGCTCAGGGTTCTGGTGACTTAACTGTGTATGAAAATCTCTCGTAATTCCCAACATTTTTGGTCCATCTCCTTCTAATTACAGTTTTAAAACTTTTCACTGTAATGTGATCACGCTGCACGTATTTTATATCCTACTTTGTTACACAGCATTACACTGTGGATGCTTTCTCATGCAATTAACAATGCCTCGCTGAGACCATTTTAAGTGCCTACTATACTTCACTTGAGAAATATCTAGTTATTTAGCTAACCAATACCTTTTAGATCTATAGTATCAAATATATCATTACAATGGATTGGGCTTTGGGGAAAATATCAGTGTACATCAGTTTTTTCCCCACTCTTGACCACCAATTTAGGACATGTACTAGAAGTATAGTTACCTGCCAAAGAGCACACATTTCTAAAAGAAAATATAGATAAGAATTTTCAATGTAAACATATCATGGATTTATCATGGTTATTTTAAATTGTATTAGGATACATTCTCAGTTTTATTTCTAATGCAGTACGACTGATAGCTATAGCATCTAAATTACAAATCTTTAGAGTCTAAGAATTATGACAGGGCATAGGGCTTGTAGGTCCAGAGGTCTGAGAACTGTGGGTAGAAGTTCATCCTTCCCCAAAGTTTCCACTTTTACTCAGGGAGATGGTAACTGATAGGTCAATGATTACATGTCCTTCATGGAACGAGCAGACATTTTATAAGATTTAGAATTCTCTTCCTCAAAATCCCTTCTGGGGAGCACAGCACATTTTCTTTTTCACTGCCAGACTATCCCTCACTTCCCCTTCATAAGCTTCATCTCTGCTCTGGTTATTTGTTGCATGTTTCTTTCCATTTCGATCCTTTCAAGAAGGCCATGAACTATTTTGCTGCCTATGTCTAATTGCAACATCTAATGTATGCTCAGTAAGTATTTTATTGAATTAGGAGAATATTGTCCAGTGTTTAGTATTAAAACATATTTAAATTTAAGCCACCATGTATATTTCCATATACCAACCTCATTGCATCAAGACCCTAAATGCATGATATCTCAAACGGGATAAAATACTCAAATTCAGCTTCTCTTATGAATGAAGCTTGTGATGCAGAATCTGCTACCAAGCTCACAGGCATTGTACAATTGTGTTAAGTCCTGCACTGAGAATTTAGTGAGACGACGATCTGAACCTTACCAGCTCTCGGGGCAGAAAGCTTCCTTCTTGGCGGGCAATAACCAGCGAAGCTGTCTCTCCCTGCTTGGTGCTCCTCAGCATGGCCACAAGCTCTTCCTGTGTCCGCCCAGTGACATCTCTGCCATTCACCTAACAAATGCAACCGTGTAAACAGCAGTCAACCACTTGCCATCTCCCTCTACCCTGGGTGTTGTTGAAGTTCCATGAGCATGGATGCTAAGCCCACAGGCAAAAACCAAATACATTTCCCATGGTACACCCTGTCCTGATTACCACCCTGGATGAACTCGGTCCATCAGTAACCAGTACCAGCACTTTTCCCCAAACAGCACATGCTCTTGAGGGGAAAATCAAACTGGCAGTTAACAAGACAGAGTTGCCAAACAGGTAGGAAGCAGACCTCAGATGCTTACTTGGCACCGTCTTGTGCTCAACATAACAAGAAGTAAAGTACTATTATGTCGCAAATTCTTCAAAGTTTCCTGCATGTCTAGGAAACAATAGTTAGAAGATAGTCATAGCTTTCATTTGAAGCTATATTTGTCATTTGGTATATCTTGCTTTCTGATCTAGGACTACAGGGCAAAGCTGTAGCACGCTTTAACCTCTTGTACCATAACTGTCTCCATCACTAACAGCACAGGCAATTTAGGTTTGGAATTGCATAGATCAGCCTGAGACACCCTTGGTGATTAACTGACTAATGTACTGGCTTGGCTGTGACTCTGGGATTCTAGCCCTGCTGAATGGATGGTGAACTTCTGGAATCCAAATCCAAATCCAAATCCAAATCCCCCAGGGGCCTGAAGGTGCGAGTAAAAAGAGAAGGTAAAGTTTTCATTATTATTTGGCCTCACATCACTGACCTCATTGCAGATTTACAAAGTTAGTCCACTCACTAGTGAGTTTTATAATTAAAATCCTTATCCTTTCTACAAGTAATAATTTTCAATATATATTGTATTCACAATAAACTACTAATATATAGTCAGTCTTCCATGTCCATGGGCTTAGTATCTTTGGATTCAACCAACCTCAGATAGCAATGTTTGAAAACAAATATATCTGTATTGGACATGAACAGATTTTGTTCTTGTAATTATTCCTTAAATAATATAACATGTCAACTACTTCCATAGCATTTACTTTGTATTAGGTATTATAAATAACCTAATAAGGACTTCAAGTGTATGAGAAGACGTGTCTAGGTTATGTACAATGCTAGAAGGACATGAGCATCTGCCTAGGGCCCCAGGGACACTGAGAGATGACTGTATATGCTCATATATTTATTTGTTTCCAGGAAATATTTTATTGAAGATATGCATTTCAATCCTTACCTCCAAAATTCTGTCGCCTGATTGTAGGCGGCCATCTCGTATTGCTGCTCCTTTTGGTAAAATGTTTTTTACAAAAATTGGACCTGGACCATGAATGGAAGAATCTCTGGTAACCACAGTGAAACCAAGACCTTCAGGACCTAGTGTATAAGACCAGAAAATGCATTGTCATGTTCAGCAGATGGAATAGCATATTCAATATTGCAGTAAAACTGACCTAACTTAGAGTACCCTTGAGTAAGGAGAAAATTATTTACATTTCTTATTTTAAGTATGCTTCAGTTGTTTGGTTTTCGAATAAAGACTGTACTTTCTGTCAGACCAAAGTTGTCTCAAACTAATTGAGGGCCAGATATACACGGGTAACATTTCATGCATTCACGCAGGCTGTAGAAGAAGAGCATGCCCCCGTACCCACAGGAGAAGAGGTGTCTATAAACCCTAGCTGCACTCTCTGCTCTCCTAAGGAACAAAGGCCGAGAGAAGCCAGCGCTGCCAGGCTCTTGTCCAGCAGCTCCCTTGTGGCTCACCTCTGCCTGTGTCGTGAAGTGGGAACTGCTAGTCCTGGCCCTGTCGGCTGCTTCTGCCTGCTCTCTGCATCTACAGGGTCTCCCTTCCAGTGTCTTTGTTCCTCTGCCCCAAGGAAGCTTTACATCAGTTCTGCTGCTGCTACAGGCTCTTGTCACTAAAGCAGCCACTGCCAGCTTTGGATGACTGCATGTGGAAGGCTCACCCCAGCCTGGGGCCTCCTGTGAGGCAGGGAAGCTGTGGGGTGGGCCCAGGAGGAGGGTGTAGGTGCCACAGTAACCCCTAAACCAGACTATGGGGACTTTGGTTCCTTCCTCTTCCTCTGCTTCCCGTTGCCACACAGGAGGATGCCTGCCCCGCCCCACAGGCCCACCACCAGGAACCACCTCACCAAGGCCAGCCCGGCCAGCAGCCAGCAGCCCTGGCCTCCACCCTGTGAGCTGCAGCATGCTTCCTCTTCCTAAAGGGAGTCTCAGGGCTCTGCCACTCTGATGGGAAGCTGGCTCACACACCCGCGGTCACACTTTCCTATCCTTGCTTCTTATCTAGCACCTATCAGTTTCTGAAATTAACTCTCTGAATGTCTTTATTTTCTGGTTATTTTTCTACTTGTCATTCATGGTTGTCACTCATACCAGTGTCCTCCCACACAGATACAGATGTTCCCCAATCCTCTCTTTTAGACCAATTGATCCACTAGATTTCTTGACTCGGTCAGTGTTGGCTCTAAAACCATTTCTCTATGGCATTCACTAGATTTTGCTTTCTAATGTCAGTTTCCAGATATTACTACTGGTATTTCCAATTTCACCATGTACCCCTTCTCCAACCAGATCCTGGCCTTTTCAAATACTAAATACTAATACTATTAAAATTCTAATTTCTATCAATAGCATCCCCATTATGCATGTTTCCCTGGTTGAAAACCTGAGCAACATGGTAAGTATCATTTTTCTTTTTTTCCTTCCTAAAACCCTTCATCTATTAAGTCATACATACTACATTTTATCATTTAGAGAGAAGAGATGCACTATTTACTGACTCTTTATTGGTCTCTCTTCAGTACATCTTTTTGTTTTCAGATTAATCTTTCCAAAGTAGAGCTACGATGTCATATTATTTATTTTTTTTTCATGCAAGACTTCCTGAGATTTTTAAAGCCACTGTGACTGATTCATCTTTCTGTTATCAAAGTACTCAGTTTGGTGTCTTACATATAGCTGGGTTATTTGTATAAAAATACAATAAGAAAACCCTTTTAGAGGTAAATGAAATTTTGATCAATATTTTCAGAATAGTTTTTTTTTTCAGAACAGAGAAGATACATTATTTTTGAAATATATTAATAGGAATTCCAAAATTACCTTTTGATCATGAAATTCTCTTAAGAATCCATGAGATCTTGGTTTCTTTTAAATCGTCTTGAAAAATACAGCATTTTAAAGGTTGCAATAGTGGAAGACAACAGCAGGCAAAGGTTACAAAATGATCAATAGCATAGAAGTGCGTGAATGCTTGTGTGTGCGTGTGTAATATTACACAAGTATGCATATACACATGACCTAGTCTCACCCATCTGCATTAGAATGTAAAAGTTGAAAAAGTTGAAAAGGAAGAGAGTATACATGCTTTTGAAATGAAATTCGGTATGTTTGGGACAATTGGAATGTTGAATAAGTGAAATTAACAATTAAATATTTGCTTTCTGCAGTTGATCTTAGCCAAAAGGCCAAGAAGCAAATATATTTACTTTTTGAAGGGTAAACTTTCTGCTGATTAAAAATGATGTCCTGGGGAACCAGAAGGCATATGCTGGGATCTGAAGGATCTTCACAAAAATCACTAATTGCACTGAAAGTGGGGACAACTGAATTCTAATGTTTATTTAGTATTAAGTTTTAATACAATATCACTCTGCTTCTATCAAGTTTGCAATGATTCTTTCCACTCCTCAACATGTCTTTATTGTTTCCTTGTTTCAAATAATCTATACGCTGCAAGAGAAAAGACGAAAGTACTACGATTTTAAGAAGTTTAAGTTATATAAGTATACACTTAAATCCATTCTTTGATACAATTAAATGAAAGCAGAATTAACTAAATTAGCCTTAATGCATTTATCTTAACCGATTTTACATGTTACAATAATAGAATGCTATTAAGCATAATTTAATGATTACCTTTCTTTAGGTCAATTTTAATTTTCTTTGCATTTTTCTTGCTGCCAAACCCCATGAGAGGGGAGAGCGAGGGAGAGGAAGGCTTTCTTCCCAGTCTTGGTACTCTGGGGCTCTTGCTTTGTTGCAGGGAAGTTGCTGGATCTGCTTCAGGACCATTTGCTCCTGTGAGATTTGCTGTCTTGAGTCCTGATTTGCCATGGACAGGAGGCGACACCTTTGTTCTCAAAACACCATCACTGTTACCGAAAATGTGAAGAGGTCCGATAACTGACTTTTCATAGTGTTCACGGTTTTGTGGTGAAAGCACCTGGAGGAGCACATGTGGGGATTTCATCGCCTGGCGGAAGACATCTTGAGCCCTTGAAAGAGTTAACAAAAGCACAATGACACGGTGTTCAGCCTACAGCCTTCCAGGGACCCCAGGACCCTGCAGGGCAGCCATGGAAGCCCAGGAGACAGGGTGGACATCACGGCCAGCGTGCCTGTGTTCCTTAGGTGCTGGTTAGGATTCCTGCCTGTGCTCTGGTGCTCCCACACTGGGCTAGCCACGGTGAGAAGGTGAGAACTGTGTGCTCTCCGAGTCGCGCAAGGTCATTGTAATAAGCCTTCATCTGCAAATTCAACTTCAAGTGCAGAGATACTAATAATGTATCCAAAGAGCCACAGACTTTAAATCTGAAAATCTAATCAGAAATAATTACTTTTTATATAAAAAGCAAAATTAATTCTCTCTCTCTCTCTCTTGCTTTGCTTTTCTGAGACAGTGTTTGGCCTTGAACTTACTATGTCCAGGCTGGCCTCAAACTCATAGCCATCCTCCTGCCTTAGCCTCCCAATTGCTGGGATTACAGGCTTGCGCCACCATGCCCAGCCGCAAAATTTAACTTTAAATGGAAAAATTATTTGGTATTTTTTAGCACACTATTGACAGGTTACTTTTGCTGACTGTGAATCAGTTTCTACTCTACACTGAGTTATTTTAGCCCTTGGTTTCCACTCCTATGAAATAGGAATGATGCCTGCCTTGCATAACTCTTAAATCCTTGTTAAAAAAAAAAGACACAGTATAGAGCTACTAATAATATTTTAATTTTGTTTGTCATTATTTAACAAAGTAAATTCACTTAAGGCTTCATTTTTTCCCCACGTGTAATTGGCTAGTATCTATTTTCCTTCTACCCAGAGCTGTATTCTTTGTGCACACATAGAATCCAGACCTTGAAGACCCAGGGAGCAGACACCTCAGAAAGGAGGCATATCAGGAGCAGGTTGGGTGGGAAATCAGGGATGGCGTTGAATCTTTTTAAGCAATACTCGTGCTTAGTCCCATAACTTGGATACCAGCATGATCTCAACACACGTTAACAAATAAACACATCATAATGCTACACATTCCAATTCTTGCATACAGAAAGCTATTCCCCTAGCATTTTCACATTTAAAGATATGATTCTTGGGAGAGAGTATTTTAATTTTTTATATGCTTCCATTCACTGAGACCTCATAAGTCTATCACAGATTGTTTAGTTCAAGGAAGACTGCTGACATCAAATAAGATAATCAGCTAAAGTAATAGTCTGTGAAGAGCCATTAAATACCAGCCTGACTGACCCATAGCCCAAGAAAAACATCCCCTCCATAGATAACTCAGCAAGACAACCAGGCGGGCAGCTATGCTGTGCTCCAAGTTAACATTCCAGGGCTGTCAGGCACATGTGCGGCCACCCTGGAGTGTGCTCACACAGAAAATGCATTTGGAAGTGGATGTCTGGGGTCAGCTACAGGGAACTGACCAGAAATTCTCCCTGTGATTTTGATCATAATGAGCGTAGTAATGTTTATAACCATTCTAGGGATCAATAAAGTAAATAAAACACTGAGAAAATGCTTACTGAGCGAAAGTTTTGTCCACGAGCTCCACACTGTTGATCTTCACGATGCATTCGTTTTCCTGAAAGAGCCCCTCCCGCTTGCACCTGCTGTTTTCTTCGATGCCTCGGATGAAGAGTCCTAGGATCCTAGATGCAGAATTAGGCTGAAATATAATCACTGTATAACCATATGCTAATCATTTCTCTACTTGCTACGATTCAGAAATAAGTATTGATTTCTACTTACAAAATAAATTATGCTTTCTATTCAGGCAACTGTTTTTGATTGAAATCCTTCGTCAAACACACAGACACACACACACCCTGCCTGAAGAGGAAAAGCCCTTCAAGGCAAATACACGTAAACCCCAGCCCCAGGACGGTCACCTGCGAGCCTGTCTCTCACGCTGCCCACAGACTTCACAGGCCAGTGAGTTTAGTGGTGCCAAGAATGCCAGGCCCCTGTCTCATGGAAGAGCATCGCAGGGGACTGGAACAAGAAAGCCAGACCAGCGCCAAGAGGACAGCGTGAGGTGTGGTTGCAAGTACATTCTAAGTGGTAAATGGGCGCATGACCATATGCTGGTCAGAAGAAGCCCGGTCCCATGTCCCAGTTCTCCTCAGCCAGGACTGAGGCTTCTGAGAAAAGCAGAGGGACTGGTGCCATGTAAAACAGTCAGTGTGCAGCCAGAGCCCGGCAACTGGACACACTGGAGAGCACAGGGGAGAGATGCAAGAGCTGGGGAGCAGGGAGCATTCATACCCCACCCTGCAGGCTGCTGACTGCTGGGCTTGGGGAGCACTGTCTGAGCACCAGCAAGAAAGGCCCAGAGTCAGAGGGGAGGGACTGGGAAAAAAGGAAAGGGAAAGGAAAAAGGCAGCCACAGGAATGGCACTTGAAGCCAGCAGTGATGGTGCACACCTGTATCATCCCACCCGCTGGGAGGCTGAGGCAGGAGGAGCACAAGTTTGAGCCCAGCCTGTGAACACAGGGAAGAATTGAGACCCTGTCTCAAAATAAAAAATAAAAAAGAGCTTGAGCTGTAGCTGAGTGGCCCTAAGTTCAAGCTCCAGTCACACACTCTTACACACACACACACACACACACACACACAAAGAAGTTTCTATATGGTCACTCCTCAGTATCCATGGATGATTGATTCCAGAATCTTCCTTGGATACCAAAATCTGTGGAAACTCATTTCTTACAAACAGTACAGGATTTGTATCTTCCTGTATACTTGAAATCATCTTAGATTGCAGGAGCTAACACAATGGATGCTATATAGATAGCTGCTTAGGCAGTATCAGCAAGAAAAAGTCTACACATGCTCGATACAGAAGTAACTGCTTCTTCCAAATATGTTCAACCCGTGGTTTGTTGAATCTGCTATGGATTAGGAGCCCTTGGGTGCAGGGCTGACTGTGTGTGTACCTGTGTGTTGTCCACACACACAGGTCTGTTACATAAGCAAACAACACTTAAGGCAGTGAAGACAAGAGAAGAACTTTGCCCACTTAGCTACTTTTCACTGGAGGGTTCTAGCAGCATCTCAGAGTGAGAAGGCACGATGCATTCTTCAAAAGGAGTCCACCCCATCCCTGTCTCTATCCCCTTGGTCTTCTGTTCAGGAGCCTCATGTGCTATTACATAGTCCCCTTGCATCAAATTTCAAATCTAAATAAAATATGAGCACATTTTATGCATGAATAATAGGGTCAGCCTCGGGAAAAGGCCAGGCCATAGGAGAGCTGAGGAGAAAGCGCTTTCCTGGGTGGAGCAGCCCTCACTGGGGCTTCCGCCTGCAGGGCGCAGTTCATTCAGTGAGCCACAGCATCACCAGAAGCCAGACACGCAGGGCAGGCGATAGCCGCTCCTCAGTGAGTATTAATGCAGAAGAGCAGAGCGAGGAAGGGCTGGGCCAGGAGTCCAGGGGTGGGGTACATTCCATCTTTGCTCTAGCAGGTTAGAAAATTAATCAAACACCCTCTGTGTTACTTTGTTCTCCTAACACGACAAGAGAAATGAAGCTACTTTACCAGGTAAACAAGAAGAAATAGATCAAAGGTGTATTTTCTCTCTAAATTAGGTAATCTCATAACAGTTCCCATTTTGGATTTTTGTGATGGTGGATTCACAACAACACGATCCATTAGGAGGCTCACATGTGGTTATAAACTAGTTTATGTAAGTGATATTTTTTTAACAAGCATTGAAGTCTTCCTTTAATTTAATTCAGTACATCATCAGTCATATAATGTGACTCCCTAGGACTTAATTTCACATTTTGGGAGATGAATTAATTCTTTCAGGCCACTGGGTTGCAATTTAGCTGGCATATTACAGCTGGAGTATGCTGCTGCGTGAACCTGACTGATCTAAATAACCTAACTTTCCATGAAAAATTTATTGACAGAGTAAGCCCAACTGTAAAACTCATGTGTCAGAGGTAATTTTGGTAAAATGTAAGACTGCCTGATTTCATCAGTTCACAGTCTTGCCCTCTTTGATCCATGGCTGGGGTGGGTTCCCTTTCATGTGATACCCTCTAGTCCACTGTGAGGAGGACGGAAAACAGTGTCTCATTGTCCATCACCATTGCTGCCCATGTTGGCGGGCTGTGGTAGGTGTCTCACTTGGGACCAAGACTCACGGAATTTAACATTACTGATTTCAAGGAATTATAGGCCAAAACTAAACAGTTAATTTGAATTAGTGAGCAATGTTAAACAATGGAACCCACAGCCTGTGGATTAAGAGATTAACAACAGCTCCTTCCTCATCTAATCGTCCTTTAGGCACCAACAACTTCCCTTTGCCTATTTCCTGCCCTACAGCTGGACCCCATGCCAGGGCACCCTACCAGCTTAGTGCTTCTGTATAAACACCTCTTCTCACATTCTGCAACCTGCTGCCTGTATCCCTCCTTTTCTCTCCTGTGTTTAGCTCCTCCTGAAATGAAATCAAGGCATTGCATGGTATCTTTGGTTAATTCTAAACATTCACATTGATATTTGTTAAATGAATGAATTTCAGTTAACTTCCAAGGACTTGGTGTTTGGTCTTGTTTTTTTTTAAACTGGGAAAGACCCTGACCCTCAATACAAATAGCACTCACTAACCCTGTGCTAAGGTGTAATGAATTCCTAGAGACTTTATCTACTGTGGCAGCCACTGTATTTTTCTTAGCATGTTCTAATGCGGATTAGGTTTCTTATTCAACAACAGGTGTGGCAGTATTTTTCTACAAGAAAAAAAATACAGTGGAGGCAAAGCCAATTACAGTAGTTGTAATAAAGAATTAAATGCAAATTCTAATTTAAAATAATAACACAAACCAATAAATGGAATGAAATTAAGAGCTAAGTCTAGAGCTGTGACCTTGTCTAAGCCCCCTCACTCACACAGTGAAACCACATGGCGTTCTGAAGCCAGACACTTGCTTGACAAGCTGTATGGGCAGTTACGCCTGGACACATGGGTTGAGTTAAGTGTGCTGTTTCAGCCTGCATTCATTACTTTTATTGGCTCAAGTCTCAACTTCCATATTATTTTTAATGTTTTTTAATTAAATTTCCTTTCTATAATACTAGTGACTAGCCAAAAAATAAATAAATAAAACTATTTCTCTAAATTTCCAAGTAGTTGACCATGAACTTAAAATTTGCTTTCTGAATCAGGCTTTTTTGTTTTAGCCCAAATGATAATAATACCAATATTTCCTACATTCAAGTACAGGGGATTTTACAGGGGGCGATTACATTTTTAATGTCATCGTGACATTACAGCCTTGATGTGAAGTAGGTATTCATGCTCTCATGAAGCTCGGGGACTTATTGAAAATTATTTAAAAGAGCACAGATTAATTAGAATTGTGAATTCAGGTCCAATAATTCTTTCTATTGTTCTGCCAGGTTTATATTAGGAATGAGAATCAGAAAAGAGAAAGGAAGGAAGTCAATAAATTCTAGTGTGTTTCCCCCATGTGAAGTAAGAGAAGGTGATTTCTCATCAGAAGGGCCGCCTTGTTTTCTAAAGTACTGAAAATGAAAGATGGTGACTGTCACATTGTACGTTTTCTCATCATTGAAAATTAGGGCGATCTTGTGTTCTATTCCAGCTTCATTGAACTACAGGGCCTGGTAACTTGACCTCTCTGGCATTTCACAAAGCTTTTTCAGTACACTCCTGCCAAGAGCCATTAGACTTTCTCAGGACAACTGAGTAAATACCGGCCCCACCTATCAAAAACAGCCTCAGTTTGTCCTGTGGCTTAACCTGTAACACTTATAAACATGCTTATTAACACACACACACACACACACACACACACACACACACACACGAAAACAGACAATATATGTCATTTGCTCTCATTTCCTTTCCTTTGTAGGGAACATTCATTCCAGCAAGAACCTGCCGTCAGATGCTATTTCCAGAAGCAAAAAGGGGATGATTTTGCAATTTCAGGTAGCAGACCGCTATCTGATGAGCACAGTGCCAACCAAGATGCCAGGATCAGATCTTTGCTTCTTGCTATTGAGCAGACCGAACAAAATAAATATTCAGAACCAGACAATTAACATGATTCAACCTGGGGGGGGTGACCTTTGATTCTAGAAAAAGCAGTAGCTAAAAAATGTAGCTAAATCAGAAGGTCTAGGTTTTGAGCAACTCTGGGAATCTCAAGGAGCTTTCCTGGTCTTTGATATCTTCAACTAAAAGAAAGCATTCTACTTTTCCAATGAAGTTACTTTTTTACAAAGTTCAGCAAATTAATTAAAGTCAGGCCAGATGAAGGAAAAGCTGATTTTTGCTTAGGTTTCTGACAACCCTTGTCAACAGCAACCTACTACTAACAGGAGTCATTACAGGTGGCACATGCCTGTAATCCAGTGTGGATTTAGCACAGTAAAGCCCCTAAAATTCCAAAAGGGGTAAATTATTTTTAACAGCCTAAATCTACTTCAGACAAAGAATCCAGTATGGTGACATTTTCCTTCTTTAATATATATGCATATTTAATATATATATATATACATACAAATATATAACTATATACATACATATATACCCATTTATATATACATATTCACATATATGACTTCTTATATACCTACTAGACTGTTGAATGTTTATTGTTTTTAAGTCTATATATAGTATATTCTGAGGAATATGAGAAAATATCAGTCTGGAATTATGTTCATTGCTGACATACATTTTGTAACATTAAAAATTGAGTTAATGACATTTGTCTAACCATAGAGTACAATCTTTGCCAATGACACTGTTTACTGGGTTACCAACAAAGACACTTAAGAAAATATCATAATTAATTGTAAATGGAGAATTGTGATGCATAGTTTTTCATTGTAACCTAGAAGAGCATTTTATTTTGTTCCAAATACAGAAAAGGCCAACATAAGTATTTCTGGCAGTGTCCAGCTGAGTAACAGGAATTCACACTTAACTGTCTTCTGAAAAAAATGATTGAGGAATCAGCCTCATTGGGGTTTGCATTACATGTGAGCTTCTAAAATAAGAACAGCACCTTACCTTCCACTCAGAGATGAAAAGAAGGGCACTACGTGTATTCCTAAGGGGCCTCCTTCCCCGGAAATTTCCACTGTTCTTGTCATATCACTGGGGCAGAAAAAGACAGGAGCACAGATGAGTCTCTGCTAAGAGAGCGCACGGCACGTGACCCACCCACACCACCTGCTCCCTCCTCCCGCCAGGGAACTCCTGGGGTGGAAAGAGCAGAGAAGGGAGTCCAAGGACCGCTCAACTGGTGGGTATGAGAGAAGATCCAAAAAACAAAACCTTTGAAAGGTGAGCTGATTTCTTATTTTAACCTCTAGAAGAAGAAAAAAAAGTGAAATGACTACCTACAAAACAACCTACATAGATCAACATTTTTAAAAAGAGGCACACAAAAATAAAATTTCTCCCCAACGAGATTTACTTGAAAATACATAGAAGTAAGTGTATTTATGCTTAAGCATAAAGAAGGTGGCTTTTCTTTTCTGGAACAGAGGAAAGGTGAAAAAAATATTTATTAGAAAAAACACAGAATTATAGTTTATAACAGCTAGGAAGCTACAGTTGGTAATACATTTGGACACACTTGAAGCAGTATGAGTCAAACTTTAAATTTGTATCAGTTGATTTCAGTGGAACCTTTCCAAATTTTCACCTCCTAGTTTACTTATTTATTTTTTAAAGGTAATAAAAGAGGTTGCAAAAGTGGGAGAAAATGTATTATGGAAAAAAAATCTAAAGCCTGACCTGCCTAGCCCAGCCTGGACTGGGGACAGGATGAGAGGCACATTAATGGGCAGCGCGTATGACAAACACAGGAGGCACTCAGTGCTTTTGAGCAATGCAGGGTAGAACTAACAAGTGTTTGCAAAAGTGAAAAATAATAACTATGAATAATTATCTGCTCCTTTACTATCAGAAAGAGAAAATAAAATTGCCAGAGGAAAATGATAACGTTGAAGTAAACATCTCCTTTATGAAAATTGTAAGCATGTTTTTACTGTTTTCTATTACATGAAAATAACCTGAAACTAGATGTCAAATTAAGAACTACAGCTGTTAGAAAAGCCTTTCTGTTCCAAACTGAAAGTGGTGAAATTCTGGTTCTTTGCTGGAAAGTGGAGAATAGCATTAAAAAAGCAAACTGCCTGATGAGTTCACTCTTCCTGAAACATTCCTTATCAGCATCTAAAATAAACATTAAGTGTAATCTCATCAGTGGATTAGGCTTATTTTTAATGTTTTCTTTACAAGCCTATTATCATTAAGCGCTGAAAAAAAACAGAACATTGGTTTCCAATAATTGTGGAAGATAGAGAATTTCAACCTGATAATAAATATCAAATGGATTTTTACCCAGATATTGCTGGTATACAGACAGATTGTTCAGTCAAATAGGCTATATCAGCATCTTGAATAGAAGTTAAAAGTGAAACAAACCTGAAAGTGATAATATAAGATGAAATAACTTCCTTCCAATATATGTGTGAGGATATGAACACTGACTTGAATATATATGCAGGTATATGGAAAGGCATATAAAAGTATGTATTATAAATCCTGAACAGAAAATGCTTGGTAGACGAAGAAAGTCATACGGATTTCGTGCACCAAAGCAAAATTTTTATATAATAACAAATCTGTGGTACATTTCATACATTTCAGGCAGACTAACCCAGAGTGGTCTCATTCTGGGTTTATCATACTGTTTCACTACTTTTAAAATAAAGAGTAAAACTTTATTTAATCACTGAAATATTATCTTTTCCACTGAAATGTATTTTTACAGTTTCACACTGAAGTCATAACACAAATTTCTCTTGATAAATCTATCAAGTGTCCACATGCCAATAGATAGCAAATATATGGAACACACAGAAGTTTTAAAATGTAAGTGTTTAGTCTAGTGTAGACTTCAAGATTTCAGTTTTGAAATATCTAGCATGGTTTTTATAGATGATGCCTTTTATGGATTCCCATTTTTTTTTGTACTTGTAAAATATTTCTTTACCCTTATTCAAAACTCCTGTAAATGTAATAAATTCCATGGCCCCATACTGAAATCTACTCTTCAGCAAGTGTTAACCCTGATTTTTATGTTTACTTAATAAATTTTACAGTATAAGCAATGAAACATCTTTAAAAATATTAAAATTTTTCGAGAAGGATGGAGTTTTAGAGTTCATTCCTATTATTCTTCTTTTCAATATTTTAGATTATATTTTAGCTTGCTGTTACATACTATTGGCCAAAAATTCTTTGGTTTGAAAGATGGTTGGAAACTATTATGTTACAAGTACAAAAATGTTACCATTCCAGAAAATAAGCATAGAAGACTTTTAGTTTTATTGACTACAAAATGCAAGCATTAACAGAAAATTGGATCTGCTAATAAAGACAAACATTACAATATTTACAATAATGCCTCACTCTGTTCTTTACAAAATGCTACTTGTAGGGGCTGGGTTTTAGCTCTGTGGCATAAATGCCTGTCTGGCAAGTGCAAAGTTGAGATCGATCTCTGGTACCAAAAAAAAAAGTTACAGAGAAAAGTCAGAATCTCCTGAGAATCACCCATGCTAGGACACGGGGGACCAACCAAGAAATCAACTAGACCTCCTTTCTGGTAAGCTGCGCAAGCCACACGTTCCAGGGAGACAAAAGTCAGATAGCGTCTCGGTGACCTACAGGTGGGAGGGCTGAGAATCCAACACTGTCTGTGCCCCACCCCCAAGCACCTGGATGGTTCGGAGGACAGGCTGAATTGATAACAAGTAAGGACATAAAGCAACTACATGCTTGTATTGTTTGGTTGCTTATGGAGGCCTGGGGCAGTGGTTTGAGCATCCCTTGGGAAGATGACAGTAGCCAGATAGCAAATGTGGGAGATTTCCTTCTTCCTCGTCTTTGAAATCTGATACTTTTCTCACTGTTTTGCTTTGTTCTGATGAACTATTTTACTTTATTCAATATTCTGTTTTGATTGGTTTTATTGTGTTTTGGTTTTGATTTGATTTTGTTATCCCTGACGGAATGGACAACTATTATGAAGATGACAAGATGCACCATGGTAGCTCTTGTTGTTTTCCTGGTATCCTGCTTTTAAGTTCTGTACCAGTTTTGCTGCATCATTTAATTGGTTTAAAATTTAAAAAAATATTATACATTATGCTATAAGATAGAAAGGAGGTAGGTCCCTTAGCCAAATTCACAGGTGTTTGTTTGAAAAGGAACCTATCTCCACAATAGCATACAAACTTTGTAGAGCTCTACAGAAATCTCTGTATCTGCCTGCTTCACGGGATGTATGCGCAGTAAGCAGGACTGAATTCAGCTACCCTAACCTAGAAGTTGCAACGTGCCACATGTGACAAATGAGGCAGGCATGGGGGCACACCACGGTGTCTTCCCGTGGAGCCTGTCTTTCTATTAGATGTCACGCAGCAGCGCCACTCACTGTACTGTTTCCACATCTGTAAAACGCTTGTGAAAGAGGACATCAGAGGTGCTTCAGGAAGTGGCAAGAATGATGGATGTTTGTTTGGTACGAGGCAAGGTACTTCATGGGGCGTTAACGATGATATGTCTTTTGCTATAATAAATTTTTAGAAGTCAACTATTCACGTTGTTTTTCGTCAATCTTTGCACATATCTCCCAAACTGAAACCTCATGAAAATGTGAAATGGGCTCCTGATGCTATTGGTGTAGACACCTCAGAGCCTACTGAGTAGGATATGCCTATCTGCTTAGGTTGGGAGGATGGTACAATGGCAAGAAGATACATCGAAAGGCAGACTAAGAATGAAAAATATAGAAAATGAGGCAGAAAGGATATTCTAGCAATGGAAAGAAAAGGGAATTACAAAAAACGGACCATGGACTGTGTGAGCTAAAGGTATATTTTATTCCACAGAGACGAAAAAGTGGAAAGATTTCACTAAGATTGAAACTGCTAATTTATTTAAGACATATTAAAACAAGTAGTGGCAAAGCTTCAGGTCAACTAATAAGCAAAATGCTCTGGGGTCCCCGAGACAAAACTCACTCAAATAATCACTGGAACCAACTGCTACTGATCTAAGAACTCAGGCAAAACTATGGGTAAAGTGACAAAATCAGTGGTTGGAAAGAGACCATCATTATGACCACTTCACTAGAGTTAGACATGCAGAGCTCTGGGTGGTCTCCACCCAGAAAAGAAGACTTGAAGTTTGGGGCAGAAACCACGACTGAAGTCACAAGGTGTCTAAGTCTGATGTCTTCACATGAAACCAGTGGTCAGCATGCTTAACTCTCTGATTATTAATTTAGTGTAGGACTTTGCTTGGAGCATGGGAGAGATGGACAGAGGACTAGGAGGGAGAGACGCTTTGCCTCTGAAGAGCATCATGGTTTACACTGATATGTAATTAGTGAGAAAGTGCTTCTCCAGGATTACACTGAGCCATGTAGGTGAGTGATTCATGTGAACTGATACCTAAAGCCTCATTTCCTCCTTTGTAAAATGAGAACATTAAAATTAAGGGATTCTCTGACACCAAGGAGGTGTTAGTTGGTGCTTTAGAAACTGATTCGCAGGCCTGTCATGTGTAACAGAACGAAAGATGGATGGCAGAGGGGAACTTCCAAGATGAGTCTTCAGGAGATTGCAAACGCTACTTAGGAATGAGATGTCAGTGCAAATGTGCTCAGTAAAATCTAACAAGAGATAGGTTGTTATTGTTGGTGGTAGTGCTCACTTGAATTCAATAGAGATAATAAAGTTCCCAGTGTCAATGGGGAAGTTCTGAAAGCTAAAACAAAGATTAGTGTTTGAGGAGTTCATAGTCTAGGGGAAGAGTTAAGATAGATTATAAAATTTAACATAAAGCAACAAAAACAGTATGGTTGAGTGTTCTTTACCTTAAATGCTTGGGGTAAGAATTAGTTCACATTTTGGATTTTTTAAACATTTTAGAGTATTTGCATATATAAAAGATATCTTGGGGATGGATCCTGAGTGAAAACACAAATTTTATTTATGTTTTATATATACCTTACATGCCTAAATTGAGGGCAATTTTTGTACAATTATTTTAAACAATCTTGTATATTAAATACAGTTTTATAGTGTGTAATTTTCTGCTTATGGCATTGCAGTAGTGAACTGATTAATGTCAAGCTGAGTGGGGAATGTCTAGCGGAATTGAGTCCGCATGATTCTAGGTGTGGAAGAACCACTTTACGTCGGATTGTGGTCGGACCAGTACAAAATGAGAGCAGGAGGAAGGATTTAAAGTGATCTCCCTTGGAGAAGCTTGAGCTGACTTTCTTGGGAAGAGCTTTGAAGGGCTGTTCTCTTTGGAACAGCCCCAGTGTGCACCTTTGCCTTGGGCATCATCCCCTGGCTTTCGGCACAGATCCCTGGCTTCCAGCCCGCAGCACAGACTCTAGCCTCCAGCCTTCTGGTGTAGATCCCTTGCCCTTCTGTCTTGGCTCCTTCGGCTTCCTGATGTAGACTCTTGCTGAGGCCTCTAGACCTTCGGCTGGATCCTTTACATCTAGCATGCAGATATATCTTCTGCACTTTCTACATTTGACTCCAAGGGCAGCTACTTGTACATTTCTGTGTCTTGCATTAAATCTGATTCAGAGCTTGTAGAATCTTCTGAGGAGCCTTGTGGTGGCTCTTGTAAGCACTGAGTAATACAGGCATCATGCTGACACTTAAAAAGTTTACAACTCTGGAGCATCATGGAGTTCAAATTTTTAAATTTATAGACAATCAGCCTATGGCATTAGGTGCCTATTGCACTACACTGTCAATGAATATGATGTATTATTTTGGAGGCAATATGCTAATTGGCTTCTGGGTATTAGACATGAATGCATATCAAATGTGTAAGTACTTCCATTTTAGAGGGAAGTAAATTAATGCTCAAGGAGGTTAAAAATCTGCCCAGCATGATATCTCTCATATAAGGTAGATGTGCGACTCAAATGGAGCTTTATTTCGCTCCAGAGCAGGAGTTGTTAAATATTCTGATATGCCACTCTCAAAGCAGGGGTATCTCTGCTGTGGTTCAGAGGCAGCAGATACAGGATTTCAGTATGAAGTTGGGATCAGGAAACTGTTCCCTAAGATGGCATTTGAGAAAGGACTCTGCAGGACAAATTGGTTTCCCATCAGAAAAGACAGGTGAGGGGTGTAGGGCACACACTCAGGGGAAAAGTGTGCCTGAACTGAGACACTGAACCAGGATGGTTTGGAGACACACAGATGGGTTGTAATACGACAGAGGGAGAAAACATGAAGAGGAAGAGAAGGAGTGAGAGAAAATTGAAGAAGCAAAGAAAGAGGGGGAGGGTAGTATGTACAAAGGCAGATTGAACCATTAGCTGGAAGTCAAATATTCAAGCGATCAAATTCTACCTGGGAAATTCGTACTTAATTTTGTAGAAAATAGTCACTAAAGGTTCCGAAACTAAGCGACAGCATTATAAATGCTGTAATTTAGACATCTGCCTGACACTTATATGTGGGATCAGTCAGAAAAGGAAAAGGCAAGGGAGAGATTGGCACTTGAGACAAGAGTTAGTAAATTACTGCAGTAATCTATCTTTGAGGGAACACAGGCCTGAGCAATGATTACAGAATAAAGTGTAAGACCATAGGGACAGGTTCAAGATGGCTTCAGATGAACCCTACAAATAACTTGCCCAGTGAGTAGCTGTCACAGGGAGAAGAGAAGATAGGATAAAATGTGATGGCAATTTTAAGCCTGGAAGAAAAGCCGTATCTGGAGCAGGGAAACCTGGGGAAGCAGGAGTGGAGGAATCAGGTAAGGAGGGAGGCGACACAGGAGCTAGAGGTGGGGAAGGTCTTCTATGCATATTAATATTTAAAGAGAAGCTTGAAGTATATGTTGTAGAATAAAATCCCAAGAAACACTTGCTTCATAGTCTTCTTAAGATCAAAGTAAATTACATGGTGATTCATAGGGCATGCCCTATTAGAAAAACTATTTAGAGAAATCCCTTTAAATATTATTTTTCTTTAAATAAAGATGCTTGCTAATGAATGAGTTCATAGTTATGATTTACGGAGCAATTTATTGTACCATTCAGTCATTCACTGACCAAATACATCCCAAGACCTACATTAAGTGTCAGAAATCCTTTGGAGGATTGTCTTGTTTGAGAAAAGAAATAATTACAATAAAATCAGAATATTTAATAATGACATTAATTACAATAGCAATTAATGTTTATCTAGCCTTTCGTTTAGCTTTGCACTGTCAGTTGCTTGTAATATACCTTAATTAATCTTCTCAATCTGTGTGATCATGACACTCATTTTCATTAAGAAGAAAACATTTTAGAGAAGTTAATTAGCCCAATGTGGCATAGGTAGTTAGTAGCAAGTCAGTGTTCAAATCTAGGGCTTAACTAAACCCAAGGGGAACTAAGGAAGGGTTTAGAAATTTTATATAGTGGTAGTACATGAGAACAATTAGAATAAGGAGAGACTGATATTTCAGAGAGGAAACAGTAGCTCATGGTAATAGTCTAGAGGAAAGGCAAAAGAAGTTTTAACAATGTTGGTGGGCTTAGAAATAGATCCAAGACACATGGAAATGGACTCTGGAGATGATTTTCTTAGTCTGTATGCCACCTGCCTATAGGTGTGCCTAAGACCTGTGGTAGGGCCAATGTACGTGCGACATCACTGAACATCCCTGTCCAGAGTCAGAAAGATGCTGCCCACGTAATTCAGCTGGAGTGGCATCCTAATCTACATTTATTTGATCTCACACCAGCCAAAGCAGTGTCCTCTGCTAGTACTGTAATCTTCAAGCTTTCCTCTGGTAGTTGGGTTGTCCCCCCATGAAATTTCATGCAAATGCACTCTCCCAGCCTAGAGCCTGCAGGGACCAGGACTTGGCAACTTGGCAAGGACTGGGAATTTGTATACATTCAACATTCTGAATCTGATCTGAAGCTGATTTCATTTGACGTTCTCTCACACTGGCACTCACTACATGAAGTTTCTCAGCCCTTGTATATGGAATGAAATAAAGAAGCAAGGATTCAGAAGGTACACACAGGTAAGTTTGAGTTAATAGGTTCATAGAAAAGAGCAGTATATGTAAACTGTGTCTATTACTTAATTGCTCTGAATTACAATTCCTTCACCAACTAATAATGCAAAAGGTTGTTTTGACAATCAAATTTTACTTACATACATGTAATTTAGAAATTTAAAAAAATCCTCTACTCTTATTTCTCACAATTTTCTGTACCTAGAAGACACTTAGCTATTTTTTTTCCTTCAGTCATAAACCAAAAAAGTGTTCAGTCTGTGATAGGTACCCATGTAGCATTTATCTGAGATGTTAGTAAATTTTTCAAAAGGCTAACATTTGAAAAATGATGTTAAAGCCAAATAGAATAAAAGTAGTAGATCCATTATCAAGCTTCTGAAAAGACAGTGCTTTGGAGATTTTTTAACACCAAATGTTTAATATTGTGCACCTCATTAATCAGAAAAATAATCTAAATAAAAATAATTATGATAATATGGCTATAAATTACAAATTTGAGAACACACAGTAAAACAGTATGGTAAATAATAATGCCCTAGTTTTAAAGGGAAATTTCATGCAAATGGACTGGCACCTATTAATAACTGGACTCAGTGAAAAGGACACATGAGTTGAATGGTCATCTTTCCCAGCAGCATCACCTTTTAATGGTAAATGACCACACAATACATACGAAATCACTGTCTTTTTGCCAAACTTGAAGCAATTTAAAGGGATGATAATGACAATCATAAAAATGACATAAGTCAAGTAACACTATTAAAATACCCACATGTGAATCTCTTCCAGGGCTGCTGTAATGTTCAAAAAATTTAGGATTTTAAAGCATCTCATATTTCAAAGTTTTACATTGAGTATGCTGTATTAGAAGGTCTATGCAGACCCCCTTCAAAAAGTCCAAAATCTGAAGCACTTCTCGTCCCTAGCATTTTGAATAAGGAGTAATCAACCTGTAACAAAAATAGTGACAATAACAGTAGTAGCAACAGCTGCAAATACACACGACTCCCTATGCCCCAATCACTGCATATGAGCCCTTTATCAATAAATAATACACTTTACACATAGCAGGATAATAACTAGTCCTTGTACTAACCCTTTGAAGGAATATTTAATAATATTTATATTCTACAGAGCAGAAACTTAGGCAAAGAACTTGTATAAGTTCACAGATCAAATAAGCAACAGAACTGAATTTGAACAGGCAGTACCAGGCTTTAGTACTGGACAGTTAGCATAAGAAAAAAAATACTACTGGAAAACATGGGCAAAACTGACTTCAAATCATGAATTACTTTCATAAACATCATGAAAAACTCTGATTTGTAGACTGGATTCATTTTATATACATCAAGTTAAATACTGCGAGATTATTCAAACAACGTAAAGCAGTACTCAGAGCACTAGAATCAAAGTAAAACATTCAAGCACAATGAACTCCGAAGAAGCATTCACTTTAAACTGCTGTTCAAAGAGAAGGAAAAGTAATTAAGCAGTCCTGGTTGCAGCAGCGCACTGGAAAGATTGAGGATCGCTTGTATATGCGTGTTTGCCGTTGAGTTCTTGTATCTTCTACAGAAAACAGGAGAAACGGAACAACTACGTAATTAATGCTAGAATGGGAACATACTTTATGCTACGTTCTACTTATGTCAGTCCTTCCTGTAAAATAAACCAGTAACACACTGTTGAATAAACCAGGATGGAGCTGAAATAAAGAACAATATTCTTATTTGCTTGCATGAAGAAAATACCTCAATGCATCCTTGGTTCTTGGTGCCGTGAAGAGTTCTGTCTGTACTCCATTCATCACTTCTCGGCCTCCCAGCTCCTGTGTGGAATCCTGTGGAGAAACAAATCCGTAAGCATGTGGGTGCTGCACATCTAAACGTGAAGATTTGAATAAAATATCTCAACGTGGGAGAGTAAATGGTTTTATTCTGGATATAGACCACATGTTCCAATCTCTTTTAAGACTGGAAACAGGTGTTAATCTTTTCAGTGCTTTTAATGTACTTTTCTCTCCCATTTGGTTTCTGAAATGTTTAAATGGGCCATTCACACAAGACAATATGTTAAGAGCTTCAGAATTCATCATTCAGCTTCCTGCTACTCAACCCTCAGCTTTTGGGACTGCCTTGTAAGCCAGCATAAAAAAGAGCTCGGCGGGGAGGGAAGGCTGTGGCGACAACGGAGGGGTGAGAGATGTGTTAGCACGCTGCACTTGCTAGCACCCCGTGATACGGTACTAAAGTACAAAGAGAACACATCCATGAAAACATGGGGCCAGCCACGCTGCTTCTGATAAAGTGCCCAGGAACGCTTCTGGAAGAAGAAGAGAGCCAAAGTTCTTCATCACGAGACTTTGATTTTGAAGATGCGCATTACAGAAAGGAAATAAGCTGACCTCTAATTTTTAAGTGTAACATACACCAGCCCCACCCAGGCAGGAGTGGCCCAGGACAGCGGTGCTGCTCATGAGACCTGGAGAAGTCAGAGCAGCGGACAGGCTCCTGACAGCACGCTGCTCGACATCAGTCCTCTGGCACCCCATGGGGCTGTTCTTTAACAGATAATTCTGTGGATCCCCACTCTTTAGAAGCAGTCACAGGCACTATTAGACACGGATTCTGAGTTCACTGAAACAAGCTACCTGTGTGGAGGAAGGCCTGTGAGCAAACCTACTGCTATGGACAGCCCTCATGGCCCTGGATGCATGATCCTGCAAAGAGGAGAAGCGTGTGAGCTTGAGGGTGTACAGACAGGGAATTAGGTCAGTATCTCCAGAAAACAAGATCCAGCTGTTGGGGAGCACTGTGATGTGGCAAACCGATGCTCGTAACAATTGTCTCTGGTTTTTAAGACTACGGAGCAACATTTCACATGGGGTGGGTGGATTTGTGAGACTTCTCCCTGGGCTTATTTTACTCTACTTCAGATAATTTTCTGTATTAGTACACATATGTAGTACTTGTTCACATCCCTTGTGGGGGGTTGGGGCGTGTAAATAACACACCTTACATCCTGTCTGAATCCCTTCTCTCCCTCCCGTCCTTTCCCTTCCTGCTCCCTTCTTTTCATCCCTGTTCCCCTTGAGAAAGATCCATCTCCCACTGTCTGCCTTCTCCTTATGAGGTATCTTTTATTTGCTCTTTCCTTATACTTTGGGTCTCCCATACAAAAGAAATACGTAAGCTTGTGTATTTAATTTGTTTCACATAACATTATGGTCTCAAGATACATCCATTTTCCTACAAATGACCCAATGTTATCGTTCTTTATGGCAGAGTAGTGCACCATTGTGTGTAAACACCACGTGTTCTTTACCCAGGCATCTGTTGATGGCATTGAGGCTGCTTCCAAGATTTAGCTACTATTAATTATGTTGCTATAAACATGGCTATGCATGCATCACTGCAATATGAAGCCTTTACCTCTTTAGAGAAGATACCTAGAAGGGAAATAACTGGGTCAATTGGAATTTCTACTTTTAGCTTTTCAAAGACTCTCTGTGCTGATTTCCATAGTAGTTGTACCAGTTTAAACTCACACAAACAATGAAGAAGCTCCTCCCCCACCTTGCCATCATTTGTTACTGATTTCTTGATGACAGCTATTCTTTCTGGAGTGAGATGGAATCTCAGAGTTGTTTTCATGTACATTTCTCTGGTGGTGAGTGATGTTAAGCATTTCTGCATGTATTTATTGGCCATTCGTGTGTCTTTTTTTTTTATGAAGTATTTGTTCATACCTCTATTACCCACTCTCCACCCCCCAACCAAGCAGACTTGTGCTGGATGACAGATACCCTCTTTAGAATACTTTTTAAATTTAGTTTTCTCTTCTCCACTTAAATAAAGAGAAGAAATCTGTAAAGTTAGAGAACACTTCAGAGATTAACATTTCAAACCTTCAAAGATGAACATCTTTACAAGCTTTTAATACTTGTGTTATTATGAAGGCCTTGACAAATTACTACAGAGAAAATGACTCTGGATTGGGCAGGTTACAATAATATTTAGGTAGAAAATTTACAAAAGGCTTGAACCTGTCACTATGTTGTATGTCAAGATATTTGATGACCTTGTTTATGCTCAAATCATTAAGTGTCTTAGCTATCTCATATAAGAGAAACTTGTTCTCTAGATAGCAAGCACATAACACATAGAGTTTATTGTATTAGTTTGTTAAAGATAAATAATAAGTTGTTCTCAAATTTAAGGATTAGAAAACATTTACTATCAGCCATCAATTCTGAGTCAGGACTCAAAAGTGGCTTGGCAGGGCAGTTTTACAGTCGAATGAGATGCCTTCTGAGGCTACAGGCAAGGTATCTGCAGGTTTCAGAGTCAGACATACTTGCTTGGGGCTTTAGGGTCAAATTTTGTATAACAGCTTTATTGAGATATACAGTAATTTACATACAATTCATCTCTTAATGGGTACAACTTGGTAGTTTTAAGTATATTCAATTTTGCAATCACGGCCACCAAAGTTAGATCATTTTTATCACCCAGAACGAAAACCCTTACCCTGAGCAGTTATTCTTCATTTTCTTCTCTTGTCTGCCACAATCATTAATCTATTTTCTGCTTTCTATTATGCATACTTCATATAAAAAGAATCTATCTTAAATCCCTTTCTTTTTTCTAGGACAAAATATCTAACACCCACAACTCAAAGGAAGAGAGGTTTATAGAGATTTTAGAGGATTTGATCCTTAGTTGTCTGGCTCCCTGGAAGACAGCAAGTGGCAGGAAGGGCCAGGGCAGAGGACACTGGTTCAAACCACAGTAGCCAGGAAAAAGAGAAGGTAGGAGCCGGGGGAGGAATACATTTTCCAGGTCACACCCTGAGAACGTCCTCCAGCCAGGCCCCTCCCCACAGTACTTCAGAGGCCAAACTGGGCCATGGACTCATGCGCTGAGTATTATACCCCCTGACGCAGTCACCCTCCAAACACATGAGGACTCGGGGCACATTTCTAACCTAATCCATAAGCTCTTCCGTGTGTCACATACATCAGTATTTCACTGTATTTTACAGATAAATAGTAGCTGAGCTAAGGCTATCCCACACTCAGCTTTTCCATTCACCAGCTCATTTTGCATTAATTCCAGTCTGCCTGTTAAGATAATGCTGCCATGAACGTTTGCGAACCTGTACTTGTGTGGACATGTTTTCTATTCTCTTGGGTGTCTACATAAAGAAATGGAACTGTTGATTAGGTGCTTTAGTGTATTCATTTATTTTTGTTACTTGTGTTTTTGCTGATGTTTCTAAAAAATGTTGCCTAGTACAAGGCTGTACAAATTTGCTTCCATGTTTTGAGAAGTTTATGATGTTAGCTCTCAGGTTTAGGCCTGAAACCACTTTGAGTTAATTTTTACACGTGGTATGAGGTAGGGCTTTAAACTCATTCTTTGCATGTGGATATACAGTTTGTTGAATCATTTGTACAAAAATTGTTTTCCATTAAATTATTTCAGTATCTCTATAAAAAGGCAATGCTTCAAAAAATTAAACTGTTGCTTTTTGATCTCTCTGCTCTGTTTCATTGCCATATCTATGTTTAGGTCAGCTCTACAGAGTTTTGATTATTATCACTTTGTATTGTTTTGAAATCAGGATAGATGAATCTGACAGAATTGTTCATGACACCTCCAGATGTTTTTTCCTTTCTATCTTGTTTCATTATTACATTTCTATATTAATTATATTTGTATGCTAATTTTAGAATCAGGTTGTATATTTCCTCAAAAAAGCCAGGGAGATTATGATAAAGACCACACTGAACCTATGGCTTAGTTTTAGAGAGGAATGCCATCTTAACAACATAAAATCTTCCAACCCATAAATAGTTAAGTGCTTCAGTTAATTAAAATAAGTATTCTTTTGGTTTGTAATTCTGCGTCTGTCTGTCTTTCTCTTCTCAAATACCTACTATAAATGTTTAACACTTTATTTTTGCCCTACTGTACCTTATACCAAGTGGAAGTTTCTTGTTGATGTCTAACTAACATAGGAAAATAACATACTTTATGTTTCAAATCAACATACTTAGGGTTAAGGGGATTTTTCTTCTAGTTCCAGTTAGATGGCAAGTAAAGGTTTTATGAGTGTCAACAGACATTGCTGCTCTGAATATTTGGGAGTGTCAGGTTCAGCTGGAAAGCACTCTATGATCCTGTGCTCTTGAGGATGCTGAGCTGCCTACACATTTGGAGCAATTACATCGCAAGCAGACCCGAACAGAACACCTGTTTGCAGACTCACATTGACGACAAGAGTTGTACTCTTTTAAAGGTGGCATTAAAAGCTCTGCCTTGCCACAGCTATTAGAGAGGGGTATAAGGGAGAGCCTGTCAGCTCAGCTCATGGGTAGTGTTTGCAGTTGCCAAATCATTTCTATACCCTGCAGTCACAGGTTCATTTGATGGGTCAGGGAGACAGATGTGCAGGGGACTCCAAGGACATAAAACCAGCTCAAGTTAACTTCAGCAGCAGCGTTGTAACTTCAAGTCACATGGACAAGTCAGCTTTGCTGTAAACAGGGTATGTAAAGTCTCCTTTCCCGGAAGTAACAAGATATTTGACCAGAAATTTAAGCGTACTTAAGCTACCCCTTCACTAAGTTACATGGTAAAATGAGGAGTCATGAACTCACACATATCTAAAAATGAAAATGATTATTTTTTCTCTAGTTCATTTAAATAACTGAAAAACTGTAAAATCATGAATCTTAAAGCTGGACAGAGAGGGGCAAAAATAACTCTGATTAGGAAGAAGTTAAGGTACAAGTAACTGCTGCTGAGCAGCCTCTATATTTATTCAAGTTTAGGT